GGAATTTGGGTCCCCCCCCCCCCCCCCCCCCCTACTGTACACAGAGGTTTCACGTTATGAACCCCCGGGTTTGGAATGGGAAAACAGGAAAACGAGGAAGAGACAGACCCACGATTTTGAGTCCCCCCCCCCCCCCCCCCTACTGTACACAGAGGTTTCACGTTATGAACCCCCGCGTATCGAATGCGTAAACATGAAAACGACGAAGAGACAGACGCCTGCGAAAAAAAGAGAAACGTTTCTCCCGTTTTGGCAGGCCCTTCGACCTGGCATAACTTCTGACGGAATGAAAATGTCGTCCCAAAAGTTTGCGCGCGTGGAAGTTCTCATCATCAGCTCTCATTCGATATACCGTAACGTTGCGTGAACAGAGATGGTGCAGGAGATAATGATCAAACCGCTGTGGACTGCTATCGACCGGTGGTTTCCGCTGCTGCTGTTATCGCAACATCATACATGAGCATTGCAGCAGCAGGCTGTTGTCTCGTGTTGCGACCACCGCTCCGGTGTCGTGTATATATCCGCGAGGCATCTGTTTGCTATTGGTGCGCGGAGCCGTACGAAAGGCGGACTTCCAGAGATCATGAATGATGCGCCAACCTGCGCGATGATGAGAAAGTCGTATGCTACGACTGACTGCTGTAGCATGCCAAATACATGGACATGGCTTGCTTGTCTGCCTTGTAGTACGCGCGAGAACTCCAACCATGGATACAAGCGAAAGATAAAAAAAATGCCCACAAGTCATGCTCTGCCCCCGGCGGTTTTCTTCGTGTGCCCAATCGTCGAACTCCAGGGCAAAGAGGCAGAGGGAGGAGAGCCGTTTGTGCGTTCCAAAACCGTTTGTGTTGCTGCTTGTGGTGCTTGCTCGTCGTCAAAGGAAGGTGACGGGTGTATGGAGCCCACCGGCTTAGATGACGTGTGTGTGTTCTCGATTGGACTGCTACTGCGTGCTGCTGTGTATCATGAATTGTATCTCGCTCTGTCTTGTCCCCACACGCTATGCATTATCTACGCCTTTCGATTCAGCGCATGATGATGAGCGAGGACAGAACATCTTGAAAACACCTACACTTGTACCAGTATAATACACCAACGTTCCGAGTTTCTTTGGGCAAACGGCCTTTGCTTCCTTAGACGGAAACAGCAGTACTTCATAGCACACGTATGCATACCTGCGAAAACGATCCGCCCCTCTCTCTATGCTACGGAGCGCAACAAGCAGTTGCAATACCTGCTTTCAACGTTCTGAAGATCAACTAGGCTGTGTTTCGTTGCCACTCGCCCTACCCAGCCGCTCTAGTTCTTGAATGACTCGACTTCGCGCTTACTTTGGCCTGTTGAGGGACAACGGCAATCAAAGACGGAACATCTCAACAATCACACCATTCTCTCTGACTAAAGTTCGCGTCCTGTGGTTCTTGCTCTGTGCGTGGAGGACGGGAGATCTGGCGGCACCTTGCACACTGCACAAAGGTCGAAGGGAGAACGCGCCTGTCCATGGCACAGCCCTTCACTACGGCAGCACCAGTGTCGGTGTGTGTTTCAAAAACTTAACCTCTCTGCAACTGTTGTGCTGGCTCAGAGCCAAATGGCGCGGGTAGCCGGGGTGTCTATAGCCCGTTCAACTCACCGTCAAACCTCCCGCGCTATCTTTCGGCAGAAGCGACGCCGGCGCCTCGGCAGCTTCGTGTTCGCCCACGGGCTCCATCTGACGCTCGAGCTACTACAGCAATCGCAACTAGCAGCTACCTCTCGAACTCAATCCACCGGCTGTGTACATAGCCACGTGATTGGCCAGGCAGGTTCCTCCTCTTCGAACCCGCGGGGGGTCTCCGCGAGCTGAGAAATGGTTTTGGGGCATACTACTCATAATACCAACCTACCACATTGCGGATCCCCCCAGTCTAAAAGCTTGATGTGGTAAATTACGTCATGTTCCACACCAGCAGGGCTGTAAAGAAGGAAGATCTGGGACCACCGGTACGCACACGCGTTTCAGGCCTGTGTGAGTGATACACACATCCGAGCGAGAGAGAGAGAGAGTTCGAAGGTAGGAAACGATAGAGAAGACGAGCAGCGCCGTAGGGAAAACGACGTGATGTGAATGAGCTCGCTGTTCTGCTGCACTCTCGCGGATAAGGCACCGCGGCATCATCGATGACGAGGGGCGGTAGCGGCGTGCACAGCAGCTCCCAGAGGAGCAGCAGCAGTATCGCGGCCGGCCTTCGCAGCGGTAGCAGGAAGACCACAGCAGCAGGAGGCACAGCAGCAGCAGCAGCGACGGCCGCCAACTCCGCCGAGGAGGTCGCGAGAGGCCTCGAGGCGCTCGAGGCAGTCGCCATCGCGGCCAAGACCTCCTCCAGCCGATCCCCCCCAGGGACTCGGAACGGCTCGTTTTCGTCGACAATCGGCGGCGGCGGCGACTTCACGCCCCTGCGGTCGGCGGACTCTTGCCACACGGTGGAGGCCTCAGACCCGCCGGGCTGGAGGCGGAGAGGGCGGAAGGAGGGGAGAGGGATGGCGGCCCTCAAGAGCGTGGCCGGGTCGCAGGGTTCGTCGTTCCCCGGCAGCAGCGCTTCCGCAGCCGCCGCAGCCGGCGGCGGCGCTACTTCTCTGCCGTTAGCGGAGTTTCCTCGGCTGCAGTCGAGCACCCCTCCGCCCAAGCCCGCCGGGTTATCACTCGTCCGCATCAACAGCGATGCCTCGACGAACAGCGGCGCTGGCTTCGGCGGCGGCGCCAACACCCGGAGCAGCTCGGAGTTATCTCCCTCCTTCACGGCGAGGGTTGCCGGCGGCGGGAAGAACGCAGCACCAGGCGGTAATAGCAACTCCTCCTCCGCCGACAACTCGCCGGAAATGCGGTTCAATAAGTCGAGGGAGTCGGTGCTGATGCTGAAATCTGCCCCCGGGGTCTGTCGGAGCAGGAAGGCGAGGTCGTCCGGATCTGCGGCCGCCGCGGGAGCGGCGGCGAAAAACAACGCCTCCCAAGGTGGGGGAAAGACCAACGACACGATCGCCGCTGCCCGTCGGAGCCTCCGTAGGACGGGGTCCCTCCCCGTAGCCAACGCCGCCAACAACAATAACGCCTCCGCCGTGGCGGTGGCCGTGGCGGCGGCGGCGGCGGGTGCTCCAGACGACCAGCAGCAGCCGAAGCGGTCCTCTTCTTCCTCGTCGTTGACCAAGAAGAAGCAGATGTCCCCTCGCGCGAAAGGGTTCAGCGCGATAATGTTTCACGAGAGCTTCACGCCCGTCGACACCAAGGCCGGCGCCGACCCGACCAAGAAGCAGCAGCGGGGCTGGTGGGTGGAGGAGAACAACCACCACCCTCTATCTCCACCGCCAACGCTGTCGAGCCCCCCTCGCCGGGGTGCCCCTCCACAGCAGCAGCAACAGCAGCAGCAACAGCGGCAGCAACAACAAGGGCAACAGGCCGGCGAAGGTGTCGTCGTTGTCGCCAAAGACCCCCGGTCTGCGCGGGGTGGCGGTAGCGGCGCCAGGAGGGTCGGCGCGAGCGTCGCGGCCTTGGCGGGAGGAAGCAGCATCGCCGCCGAGAACGAACAGCTCAAGCTGGAGAGCAGGCGGCTCGCGAGCGCGCTGTCTACGGCGAGGGTATGTTGGGACCAAGGACGAAGCGGATCATTTTTATACAAGCCTACAAAAAAAATATGTTCAATGGGTAGTGTCTTCTGTGTGTGTATTTATTTTAACACGGAAAGACTACTGTACCCGTTGGAGATACAGCAACAGTTTTAAGTGATTTTGTTGAAGTCTTCCCCCCAACCCGCTCCCTGACTGGAAAGAAAAATAGTGAGCTTGAAATCGAGCTCTGGCCGCCCGAGCTATGCTTGCTGTATAAATTAGATTGCAGATAGCGCCCGCACGGAAATAACTTGGCAGTCAAGATCTTCATGCTCAAACGTGTATGCATATCAAAACGTAGTGAGGGCTCGAACATCGTGTAGTCAGCCGGGGTTGAGAATTTCTACACTAAAAACCTATGTTGCGGCCATTTTTTCGCCCACAAGAGGAACCCAGAACAAGCGCACTCAGCACCCAGGGTCGATATCTCAATGTTGTGATGCGCACGTGCAGTTGTCTTTCGACGAAACTATTAACTATACAGGGGTGTTTGATTTAATTAATTGTTTTTGGGTTTGGGGAGTACATATATATATAAATATAGGGGTGTTTGATTTAATTAATTGTTTTTGGGTTTGGGGAGTACATATGAGGTAATCCCTATGTATCACGAAGGAAGGCAACATACAGCAGTTCGTGGTACGCCCAGAATTTTAACGTGATTTTTCACTGTCTCTATTCCAATTAACACGACGATGGCCACGAGAAGGAGAGCGCGGAAATGACGGAGGAGCGATCCAGGGTGCTGGCCAAGCAGGCGACTTTGCGGGTATGCGGCAGGAAAGAAAAGAAGGAATCACAGACACTTTATGTACCGGCTTTTTTTTTATGTTTTTCGTATTGTGTGTGTGTTGATATTGTTTGCATCGACCGCGCTAACCCACTGACCAATCAAAATGCGTCAGTCTCAGCGCATGCCAAAACGGCTTTTTTATGATACGGTGCACGAAAAAGATCTTGGGCGTTCTTTGTTCCAATCTTTGTTGCATGCTGCACCCAAAGCCTATGGTAGAGCGTTTGATTTTCTATCCACAGCAGTAATCTACTTCATATGTAGTTCACGTGCCTTTGCGTGGTGTCCCAAGCGAGCGTGTGCACGTGCGCTTTTTGTGTACTACAGATTGTTACGAGCTTAAGGTCTCAACGGAACGGTTCGCGAGCAAGTCTCGCGTAGGCGAGGGACTTGCTCGACGGACCAACGACAAAATCAAACATTTAAGACAACGATACCTTCATCGGCTTGGCTTGGCATTGGCTTGACATGGCGTACAACAGTATCGGGAGTGGGGGAGTGGTGGATGGATGCATTAGCTGGCAACAACCAGGAGTGTATCAAAGGGAACGAGACAGAACGTCCGCTCGCCCCCCCCCCCCTACACACACGCGCGCGCGACGATAGATTCGTCGATGCGGTTGTTGCACTTGTCTGTGTTCACAATGTGTATCTAAGGCGTACCATCTGCATATTTTTAAACGCGAAAAGGAAAACATTTAGAATTGTTCTCTCTGTCTTTCTCTCTCTGGTGAGTCTAGAGACAGTGCTTGTTTCCGCCGCCGCCGCCGCTGCACTCCCCGGCATTCGGTCCGCGGAGAGGGTTTCGAACGAAAGGAAGGGAAGGGAAGGAAAGGATCTAATTAAGGAAATGAGCAATTGGAAAGGAGTGCGGTGGTACGCTGTCGGCTTGCCTACCTGCCCCCCCACCCAAATCAGTCTTAGTTATTCACACTCTCGGGTACGCTTTCATACAACATGACCTTGTTACTGTCTTCCGGCGGTCCTGGTGGGGCCTGACGTAACTCGGTTTGTCCCCCTCGGATGTATGCATCAGGAGCTCCT